TTATTAAACATAAAACGTTATGTACTGGTGATATTGGAGTTTCACAAAAAAATATCACAAGGGATTATTGGTAATTTCATTAATCAATTTTTCTTTGAGAAATTGAATTCTTAATTTTGGACACATGAATATACAATCTTGTTCAACATGCAGTAAAGAATTATTTCCAGTCGCAAAAACCACTATAAAATTGATATATTATAATAATACCTAGCATACAATTGATTGAAGCACTTCTAATTGCTCAATATGCCTACAGGTAAAAGTAAAAGCAAGAATGATATAACAGTAATTTATAACTTCCAGCACTACACCAATACAAGTTTCTGCCTGGTATCCGATGTAAATGATATTGCCTATACCTTTGCTTTCACAAAATTAATCTGAACAGAATACTTGATATATGTAGATGAAGACAGTGATTGAAATGATGAGAAATTAATTTCTAGCAAGGCCATAACCACACAATGTACTTCCGTTGTTTACAAACTATACCATGTGCTTTTACCACATGAATTGTTGCATGCCTAGGGTGTCAGCAAGGTCAGTGTGAGTGCAATTCTAACTAAGCTAGGGGATCTCTATGAATGAGTTCTAATCTCCTACCACTGCACAATAGCATACATTTGGGTTTTATTATTATACTGGCAGAGTGGGCATCTGTATTTGGATACTGATGGTTTATTTGTTTTTGTGTGTGGATGTCCCAGGTTTGGGGTTTGTAGCTCCTTATGTAGACTATTTTGTAGTCTCGCTGGCGTTACTCTTTAAGCGTTTTTAAAGTTATGGGGTTGAATTGCATTTCTCAAAGTAAGTACAATAGCTTTATATTTAGAATATTGTTCCTGAATTTAAATTCTGATAAATATATACATTTTATTTTAGCTAGGCTAAAAGAAGAAACTTTGCAGTTGTTTTCTACTCTTAAATTATAATTTGTTTTCCCCAAAATAATGTTGATGTATGATAGGCAGTTACAAAATTTATAAAAAAAAATTATATTATTTATTTTTTTGCACTATGAATTCAACTTGATGAAAATTTCCCATCTGTACATTAGATGTTGAGTTTTTTTAATGAAATTACATACATGATAAAGACACTTAAAAAATGAATAAGGGCATCCTTTGGAACATTCATAATATATTTTTTTATATTTTTTTTTTTCATTTCATTTCATTCATTTCATTCACATCAGAATATCAGAATTGAAAAAATATTTTCGTAGTTTGAATATTTGCATTAATTTATTTCATCATGTTATGCTTTTTATTATTATTTTAAATTGTATATATTCACGTAAGGATTATGTTACGTAATTTTAGACAAAACCATGTTAAGTGTGATAATGTTCAATTTCCCCAAATTTTGCACCAAATTTGTATTGGGAAATTAATATTGAGGAAGATAAAAACACTGAAATATTATAAACAATCTAACTCTTCTTTATGTTAAATTATATGAAAATTGTCCATCCACCTTAATAATGTTCAAAAAAGACAATTTCCTGTGTAACTTCCCTCACCCAAAACATTTTTTTAAAAATTACTTTTGTTATACAGCAACATTTTCTCAAAATGTCAACTACATAAAACCAACTCGAAGTAAAATTATTAGAAAAAAATTGTGCAAAATTACAACTTTTTATCACATTCTATTGTTTGGTACAATTTAAAAAAAAAATATTTTTTTTTCCTGAAATAAACATTCAGTCCTATAATTTAAGGTATCACCATTTTTGTTTAATTTTAATTATTGTACAATTTAGATGGTGGTTTGGAAACTGTAGAATAATCTTTGCATATTTAATTTCCTTTGTTCCCTGTTATTAAATTAGTCTCATATTTAAATTTACCCTCTAAGGTACGCTGTTTACAGAAAAGCACGTGGTCTATAGCTGTTGAAATTTCTGATATCAACTTCCGGGTCAGACAGATGTTTTCATATATTAAAAATAGGAAAGTGTGACAGTATCTTTATTAAAATGGGGGTGAAAAAAAAACACAGAGATGATGCAAAAATTGTTGCTGCTTTCACTGTCATTAAATATGAGTACAATCATTGAACTGTGGTGTAATTTTGATATTATTCAATTTTTAACTCATACCGTTAGAAGCTGCATCCCCTATTTCGGAATGGATGCTCCCAACACATCCTGCTACATTAATCTTGCATAAATTATTCAAATTATATGCAAATTAGAATTGTTGCAAAGTCATGCACATCCATACAGGTGCTTTTTTTCAGTCCCTGCACATAGACTAAAACACTTTAAATTATTAACGTGGATTTCCTGGCATTTTCCTTCAAATATTATTAGTCCCTGGTATCACAAAAAAAATCACAATGAACAATAACAAAAAGAAGCTCTCTTCCATCTGCTGTTTTCACAATTTATTTATTTCAATAGAGTTAAAATGATTATTGAACCATAATCAAGTGTTCTTTATTGGCATTTATGAAAGTATTTAAATGTTATTTTTTGACGTCCCAGTGTGGTAGCTTTGTTTTCTTTTTGTAAATTATTATTGTATGAAGAAATCTTTATGTTAAGGTATGGGTACCGGTACTTCTATGTGAAACCTTCTTTTTGAGTTCAGATATTTTTGAAATATGTTTTAGTAAATGTACAATTTCTTTTCGTTACTTTTATTTTTTTCATGATAATATAAATCAACATTTTTTTTTTAATTATTTTTTTTTCTTCTTGTGTAGTATCTGTACACACAAAGCGCATTTATACATAATTAAATTTCTTCTTTTGTTTCCATGCTTTACTGTTAATCTCTGGGTATTCAGGATTTCCTGCTGTGACCATTTTGTATTAAAATTTACCAAAAATTAAAATTCTGAGAAGAGTCAGCTGATACAAAAAATCAAGCTGAACGTCAACAATACTGGTGTCTTATATAACTATGTACTGTATAGATTACTTTATTTTTTCTAAATTTATTTCTCTTTTTTTCATGGAGAAATAAATGATTGAAAAAATTAAAAACAGATTTCAATATAAAAATGTTTTTACAGCAAGAATTATTTCACATATTTCAAAATACACTTTTATTTTCAACACAAAATTATGCTGCTGCAAACCAGAGAATTTTTTTTTGTAGCAGTTTGTTAATTTGTTTTGACGTATTAATCTCTTCCTGTACTGTTATTCACATTTACAGTATAAAAAACATGTGCAATCAAGTAGCTATGTGGTATCATTGTACTCTTTGTTAATTGAACTATTGTTTTGATGCAAAGCTTTTTTTGTATTTTACTGATTAAGTTACCTTGCTAGCCCTCCATGGTGCTGATGCCTAATTAATGACATACACTATTGTTTTGCAGGTTGTTAATGCTGAAAATTGTCATATAACTCCTTGTTGAAAACATTAATGCTTTCTTCCATTGTCTCAATGAAACCTACGCAAACACCATCTGTATTAATAGGATTTTGTAAGCAAACATTTGCATGTGTTAACAAGATCATTAAAAATACAACTTATTTAGACCCTAGACCCATAGACATGTGTCTTTTACGTAAGTGCATACACTACTAATAGAGCAAGTACAATTATCACCTGAAAACACCTGCCTTGCAAGAATATCATACATTATTTAAAGTTCATAGTCACATATGTTTTTTTTTTTTGAGAACATTATTATACATGAACTTAACTAAAATAAATTTGTTGTTCCTATGGGACAGTCTTGCAGTATTGCAGAAACTCAAAAAATATGAGTGAGAACATTGGAGAAAACTTACTGTGTAAACATTTTAATGAAATATATTTCAACAATCAACAATGTAGTAAATACTTTCATGCTTTTAAAATTCTATTTAGGGGGGTAGGTCTAAGAGCTAAATGAAGAAATTATGTTTTCTCAGTTTCTGTAACAATTTGAGACCACCCTTGAACAAGTATTTTTTTTTTTTTTTAATAATAAAATGTTTTTTTTTTTTTTATTTATTACATTTAATAAATTATTACAAAGTAATTATTCCTCATTTTTTGATTTTCTGTAAAATATAACTTAAAAACTGAAATGGTATCTTAATTGTTTCAATTGCGATGACAATTTATATCTCAGCATCAAAGAAAGGTAATTTAGTAATTAAAAATTGAAATACAACATGACTTGACTCAAGCACAATTCCCAAATACAAGTATCTGTATGTGTAGTCTTATACACAGACATTGAAGTGCTTATAGTGCTTACACTGATGAATATCTAAT